TAAGGCCTTCCCCCCACACAGGACTGACTCGTGGCTCTGCACTGGTCTGTTCACATGCCCGTCGGCTCCACTAGACTGCGAGCTCTGGGGGACCCTGGCACAGGCCTAGCCTCTTGCTCTGACTCCTGCAGCCAGCACCAGGCCTGGACTCAGCAGCTACTCAGGGGTCAGCTTGAGTGAATGAGTGAATGGTTTCAGGAATGAGTACCAGGAAGAAACAGCAGCTGAGACAGACCGAGTGAATCAGTGAGCGAGTGAGTGAAGAACGGAGACAGAAAGAAGGAGGCCATGAGACATGGGGGTGAAGACAGACAGAGGGAGACAGAGAGAAAATCAATGAGTGAATGAAAAGATGGGGGGGCACACAAAGGTCATTATTAGGGACCGATATTGGGGCTGGGAGAGGAGGGGGAGACTTCCCCAGCCCTGCCAGACATGATTCTTCAGAACAACTGGGTTCCTGCCAAGGTTCCTTTTAGTCACTCTCCAGGCCTTTGTTGGGCTGCGGCCCAGGGGACTAGGACCCGCTTGGTCCTGCCAGACCCCTCCCTAGGGCAGGAGACTCTGTTGGCTCCTCCAACCTCCCATTCTGGCTCAGCTGCTTGGCACAGGCCCTGGCACTCAGCAGCTCCGTGCCTGAGCCGCAGCCTGAGCCAGCAGAGCCGTGGGACCCCTCTGCCCTAGCCCACAAGCCCCTCCACCGGGCAGAGTTCCTGGGATGAGAGCCCCTCCTCTTTCCTCACCACCTCCCTCCTGGCCTGGCCTGAGCTGGGGTGGGATCCAGAATGCTCCCCACCAGCAGGCCCCAAAGCCCCGCCTGCTGGAGCTCTGGGGAGGAGGGAGAGGCTGGCTGGGTGGCGGAGGGACAGATGGGCCTCCAGGAGCCTGGCCTCCATGCCCAATTCTGGCATTTCCGATCCCCTGGGAACCCCAGGGGAGGGGCCTGGGATCTGAGAGTAAAAGCAGAGTGGGAAATGGCAGAGCCACTGAACACCACCCCTCCATCCTAGAGAGGGGGGGGGTACACCCCCCCCCCATCCCTCACAGGGCTTTGACTTCCCCTCCCCCACTTCCGGGCTGCTCCTGCATTCCAGCCCTGAAAACAGACATTTCTAAACGAAAGTGCTCAGCCCTCTCCATGGGCCCCCTCCATGGCTGCCTCAGCTCTGGGGACCCAAGTCCCCCCTGCTTCCCCTGCCATTGCGCCAGATGTGGCTGTGGGGGAGGGGCGGGCGCTGGGTCCAGCTGGCAGTGGTCACTCGGTGGTCCTCTCCCTGCACAGTCAGCGCTTCCTGTGCCAGCTTGCCCTGCCCTGCCTCCTCACTCAGCGCTCCCTCCAGCCCACTTCCCACAGGCAGCAGTTGGCCCTCCTAGGGGCTGTGACTTCCCACCCACAGCCTTTCCTGAGCCAGTGGATGCCCAGGCCTGGGCCCAGCAGTTTGAGGTCTGGGGTGGGGCACAGGGCTGTGCTGCTCAGTGGGGCCTGCCCTCTACCCCGGCCCCATCAGAGCCTTTCTGACCCACAGCTGGCCATCTGGCCTTTCCTCTGCAGAACGGCTCCTGTCAGCCTTGCAGCCTAGGGTGCTGCAGAGCCGGAGTTCCTGCGGGCCCCTGGGAGAGCCCAGTGGTTTATGCTCTACAACGAACCGAAAGGTGGACAGTTCAAGCCCACCCAGCAGCAGTGAAGAAAGGTCTGGGGACACTCCGAGTCACCATGAGTTGGAATTGACCCCAGGACAATGGGGTTCGGCTTTGGGGGTCTTTTTGGAGCTCCCTCACCCTGTCATGGTACCTGTTGACCTAGCAGCAGGGTAGAGGTGCTTGATTAAATCCACAGGCTTTGTCAGGCCCCTAACACAGGCCTCCTAGCTTCCCTGAAACTGGTTCCTAGCAGCAGGGGCTGGCAGTAAGCTTCAGCAACACACCTGGCCCTGAAAACGTGGGTAGGAGCCCCAGCCTGTAGGGCAAAGCTGAGAGAGCAGCTGCCCTCCGGTGGCTCCCTCACCATCCTCCCAGACAGCTCTAGGCAGCCCAGTGAGAAGGAGGTCAAGTCCGCATTTGATCCCTGCTCTGCACTCACCACTGCCTGCCCTGTCTCTTCAGGCCCCACACTACAGGCTTCCACTTCTGCCAGAGGACACCTCCAGCCCTGCGCCCTGCGTGTGGAGAGGTGGAAGCAGGCAGACAGGCCGGCCAATCGCCTGACTTTCCAGAGCCCTGCGCCGAGGCCCAGCTGGGCCTCTTCATTCACTGCAGGAGACCCAGACTGGAAGGGACAGAGGTCAGAGGGAGGGGTGCAGAGAAGGGAGGCACCTTCTCGGGCCCTGCCCTGCAAAAGGCTCCCCTCAGCAAGGAAGGGCACAGAAGAGTGAGAAAATGCAAGGGTGGAGGGGGTCGTGAAGGGAAGCACCTTCCGGAGACAAAGGCCTCTCTTCTCTCTGGGGTCAAAAGCAAGAGGAGAAGAAAGGGGCGGCTTGCCTGACGAATGCTGGTGACTTTTCACCAATCTGCTCACTTCATCCTCCTACTTTTACTGCAAGAAAGGGCTTGTTAGGCCAGGTGACAGGTGAGGGCCCTGAAGCTCTTAGAGGGGAATAGACTTCCTGCCCAAGCTATGTTCAGAGCAGTTTATTCAAACAGAGCCTAACAGGGCACTTGGCTCCCTGGACTCAGTGATTCAACCATATTAAGAAAAAAAGTAAGAGCAGGCGCTAGATTCGGCTAGGGTTTCACCCAAAAGGCTCCAGGGCTGGGCCCTGATGGGGCAAACAGCTCCCCACAGTTCTGGGGCCCCCAGGCAGCCCTTGCCCCCTGCCAAGCTCTTGTCTTCTCCATTCTAGGCCAATGGGGCACCCTGACTCCACAGGGATCTTCTCTCCTCATCCACTCCCCCATCTTGCCCCAATCCTACCTCTTCCTTTTGCCTCCCTGCCTGGGGGTACCCCGAGGCCTGAGGCCTGTTTCCACTTTTCCTCTACTCCTGGTGCTTCTGCCCATCTGGAATGAGGTCCCTATATGACCCCAGGGATTCCACGCAGCCAAGGCTAGCAACGCAGGAGATAGGCAGGGGAGGTGGCTTAACCTTCCAGGTTCTGGGCCCCCTGTGAGCCAGTACCCCACCACCACCCCCATCCTGTTTGGTGTCTGTCCTGAGCCAAACCAACTGTTCGCTGTCTGAGTCTGGTCAGGGGCCTGAGGCCAAAGCCACTCTGGGAAGCTGGGGGGCAGTGTTGAGTGTCTGCAGGCCAGGAGTGTCACTGGAAGCCCTCCTGGATTGGAAGTCACTATGTGCCCTGTGCCACCTGAAGCAAGCCTGAGACCTGCAGAACAGTACAATGATGGGCAGATGCTGGCTGGCTGGCAGGCAGGACTGAGAGGGCGGACACTGTGCCCGAAGGAGAAAGCCCCCTTTGGCTGGCTCTCCTGAGCTCCAGGGGTTTCAGACGGAGACGAGGGTCCAAATTACAGGCAGGTTCTTCCTACAAGCTTATAAATGCAAATGAAGGATATCTGTATTCCAGTTCCCAGACCAAGGATGGAGAAGGCAGCCCAGGTGAGAAAAATAGGGCTCAGAGTGGGATTTCTTAGAGCCATCGTGTCCTGATTTCTGGGATCCCTCCTATCCCCACTATTTCCATAGGGAACAGAATCCCTCAACACAACCTTCAGCACCATCTGGTGTGACTCTCCGCTGATGTGACAACTGGACCAGGAAGGAAAAGAGGATAGGCCCAAGATCACCCTGGAGCTTAATCACAGCAACAGGACCAGGCCCCAATTCTGAACCCACCTGCGGCCTGCCCCTCTCCTGTACTCTATGGACAGGCGTCTCTGTCTCATAATGGTCCCACCTGTAGCAAAGGCAGCCTCTAGGTTTCAGGCTGTAAGAAATGTGTGAGAAGCTGATCACACACACACACACAGATTCCACACATCCCATTCAGTCCAGGGCCCACTCCCACTCCACAGACTGGGATAGCAAGGTCCCAAGATATGCCTACAGGGAAAAATCCAACGCTCCAGCCCCACCTTGTGCTCAGCCCTATGGATGTAGCCATTGTTGGGTCCACCCTGCTCAGCACCTCCCCCAAGGAGGCCCACCAACAAGGCAATGTGTCTCTTAGTACTGACTTCAAGGAACAAGGGGTAAGGAAGTCCAGGAGTCCTGAGGAGAAGCTGGAGTAGGTTAAGAGTCAGGGTCCCTTATAAGCCTAAACAGGATGCCAGTAAGAACGGCAGGGACCAGGGGTGCGGAGTCTCTTCTTTCCAGAGAAAGGAATGGGCAAGATGGTGCTACCTCCCCAGCCCTGTCCTGCCTGCCAGAGCCCCACTTACCGCGTCTAAGTCCCCAGAGGCTCCAGCCCACTCCCTGCCTTATTCCCTTCCCAGAGGCAGGCTGTGGCTTGGCTGGGTGCGCCAGGGACTGAGAGAGCACAGCAGCTGTGGGACAGGCCACATAGCTAAAACCCGACGGACCATAGGGCCCCGCGGAGGAGGCCCCAGCAGGCAGACGACCAGCCAGCCCCAAACCTCCCAACTCTCCCAGCCTGTTGCTTATTCATTCAGAGTGAGAAAGCGCCTGCCCAGCGGCTAGCCAGTACAGGGCTGGCCATGTAAGGCGCCCCCCACCCCTCCAGGAGGTCCCTGCCCTCGCAGTGCCCTGCAGAGAGCCTCGTGCAGCCCTTGGGCACCGCCCCTGCCCTGCCCTGACCCCTTGGCCTCGAAATGCTGTCATCAGAGGAGCCGTCCCGCTCGGGACAAGGCCAGGATGGACAAAGCTAGAGCTGGGGCAGGCAAGGAGCCGTCCTGTCCTCGAGGCCGTGGGAAGAGAAGCACGCCCAGGAGGCCGCTGCGGAGCGCCTCTCTGCTCACCAGGCCTCTGCCGAGGGGCCACCATGGCTCTGGCCCTGGCTGGCTGGCAGCTGGGGGCCCTGGTGTGGGGCATCTGCTGCCTCTGCGTCCCGGTGCGCGGGCAGCAGCCGCAGGAGGCCGCCGCGCAGAGCGCAGACCCGGAGCGCTGGCGGCAGCTGATCCAGTGGGAGAACAACGGGCAGGTGTATAGCCTGCTCAACTCGGGCTCCGAGTACGTGCCGGCGGGACGGCCGGGCGCCCAGCGCGGCTCCCGGGTGCTGTTGGCGGGCACCCCCCAGGTCTCGCAGCGGCGGAGCTCCGGAGGACCCCGGCGCCGGCAGGCCCCGTCCCTGCCGCTGCCCGGGCGCGTGGGCTCGGACACGGTGCGGGGCCAGGCGCGCCACCCATTCGGCTTCGGGCAGGTGCCGGACAACTGGCGCGAGGTGGCCGTCGGGGACAGCACAGGCATGGCCCGGGCCCGCACCTCCGTCTCCCAGCAACGCCACGGGGGCTCCGCCTCCACCTCGGTCTCGGCCTCGGCCTTCGCCACCACCTACCGCCAGGCAGCCCCGTACCCACAGCAGTTCCCTTACCCGCAGGCGCCCTACGTCAGCCAGTACGAGAACTACGACCCCGCGGCGCGCACCTACGAGCAGGGCTACGTGTACTACCGCGGCGCGGGCGGCGGCCTGGGCGCGGGGGCGGCGGCCGTGGCCTCGGCGGGCGTGCTCTACCCGTTCCAGCCGCGCGCGCGCTACGAGGATTACGGCGGCGGCGGCGAGGAGCAGCCCGAGTACCCGCCGCAGGGCTTCTACCCGGGCGCCGAAAGGTCCTATGCGCCGCAGCAGCTGCAACCGCTGCAACCGCTGCAGCCCCTGCAGCCGCAGGCCCCCGACGGCCTAGACCGCCGCTACTCACACAGCCTTTACCACGAGGGCACTGCCGGCCTCCTCGAGCAGCCCGCCTACCCGGACCCGAGCCCCGACGCGGCCGCGCAGACCTACGGCGGCGACCCCCGCCTCGGCTGGTACCCGCCCTACGGCGGCAACGGGCAGCCCGAGGCCTACGTCCCGCCGCGGCCCGTGGAGCCGCAGCCCGCGTACCGCGCGCCCGAGCCGCCCTACCTGCCGGTGCGCAGCTCCGACGCGCCCCCACCCGGCGGGGAGCGGAACGGCGCGCAGCAGGGCCGCCTCAGCGTGGGCAGCGTGTACCGACCCAACCAGAACGGTCGCGGTGAGTGTCGCCCCCCACAAAGGCCCGGTGCGCCCCCCCCCCTCCACCCCGGGGTGCAGGTCCCTCCTCCATCCTTTACCCAAGGCCGCCTCTGAGCTGCTGGGGAGCCCCTGGCCCCAGTGGGCCCCACCTCCAAGTCTTGCCCATCCCCACGCATCAGTGGTGGGTGCTGGAGTCTTGCCAGGCCGGCACCAAGGGGGAGGCGGGGGTGGTATGTCCTGACTTTGAGGCCCGCCTGGGCGCTGAAGGAAGCTCTGTCCTGTGACCTGGCTTGGGTCATCTGGGGACAATGGGAAGGAACTATCCTCCATGCCTCCCTCAGTGGAAGCCAGCCCTCTACCCTTGGGGGTCCCTAGACCCCCTTCCCAGGGGGACACAGGGAGCATGAGAAACTAGGTTCTTCGGGGACCAGGAAGGGCTCAGTGGGTGCCTCTGTCAAGTTCCCGGTCACTGGGCAGGTGTGAGCCTGGTCTGGATGGGCATGTTAAAGTGGAGGCTGGCATCCCAGACAGGGGTCAGGCTAAAGAACCTGCTAGATGGAACAGAATACCCTAAGGGGAAGGGGGTGGTAGGAAGGGGGCTGCAAGGTGGAGACTAGAATGAGGTCCAAGAGGCATTAGCCTGGGGAGCGAATTTTAAGGGGGCGCCAAAAAAAGCTCAGTAATCAAGATGAGTAATAGTTACTGCAATATTTTTTTAGGCAGCATTAAGGCAAAAATGCCTGTGATGAACAAAACACCAAACTTTTAAATAGAATCAGTAACTGCCTGTGGAGCCAATGGAGCCTAAGGCAAAAGAGGGTTGGGGGGGCACGTGGGGAGGGGGGGAATCAGCAATACTGATCTGGTCTTTGCAGTTTTGATATTTTGTTCATCATGGGTTTCTGTGCGCATGTGTGCATGCCTGGAATGTAACTTTCCAAAACAATATTATACTAAGATCTTACCTATCTTTTCACTGACTATTTTGGGGGGAGGGTGGCTCCTTAAACTTTATGCCCCAGGCCAGTGTCTGCCTCTCCTCACCCTCGTCCTGGCCCTGCTGGGAGTCCCAGGAGGCAGCTGGAGCCTGGGTGTGCTTCCTTCCCTCTGGCTTTTTTAGAGAGTGGGAGTAGACGATATGATAGGCCCAAACCCTCTGCCCAGGAGGAGACAGTGGGGGGCTGTTGTCACCCCTCAGATGGGCAAGTCTGCAGTGCTATCAGCAAGCAGGGCTACCTCAGCAGAGGCAAAGGCCACTTGCTCATCCTCTACTCTCTTCAAACCCACTCCTCCTTCGGATAGTCAGCTTTGATCAGGGTCTTGTGCTCAACCTCTATGCCTATGAATTCCCTGACCTGCCTCTTGCAGGCTACCATCAGTGCCCTCTACCCATGATCCTCTGCTCCGCACTGAAATTGCTTTATCAGGCCCCCAGGGCACCCAGGTCCCCCAAGCCCAGCCATTGTGCCTCGGTCAAGAGCAAGGAATAGGGTCTGTCTCCAGCCCGGCTGACTCGTGTGTGTGTGTGTGTGTGTGTGTGTGTGTGTGTGTGTGTGTGTGTGTTGTGAGACGCTGCAGAGGACCCTCCTGCCCACCCCCTTGGGGCTCCTGCCATGCTCCCAAAGCTAAGGGATAGGCACCCCACTGGTGCCCGCCCCCCACCCATCCAAGGTATGGCACTCAAATTGGGTGCTGAATCCCACTTTGCATACCTGCAGGAACACAGGGCAGGAACCAGCCAGATAGTCCTTCTGGGGCGTGTGAAGGATGGATCGGCTTGCCCACCCCAACCCCACTCGGGCTGGTCCACCCACCCCAGGAACTAGCAGCATCCTTGTAGCAGGTCCTCACCACCAACTGCTTTTGGAGCCGTAACCCAAAGGGACTTGACTTAGGTCACACCTTTTCTTAGAATGCAAGACCTCACGGTGGAGTTCAGAAAACCCACCCTGGGCAGAGGCAAAAGCTCCGGCCTCTAAGACCACAGCATGATGCTGGCAGAGCCAGTGCTCTGGGCTCTGGGCCAGTGGGGTTTCTAGGGCCCCTCTGTGGTCTGTCAATTCTTAAGGAGCCATTTGATTGAGAGAGGGATGGGCCGGGATCAGGCCGCCTCTGGAGTGGACGGGTGGAGGGGGGTGGGGGGGGATTGCGGTGTTTGCTGCTTAGCAAACCTCTAGCCAAGGCCCCTGGGCCTCAGAGTTCATTTTGGGGCAAAGACGTTTCTTCCCTGAATGTGGAGGACTCCGGAGCCAGGTCATGAGTGCTGATATGCATCAAGCCAACCCTGCCCTGGGGGAGCCACATTGCAAGGGGTGGGGGGTGGGGTGTCTCAGTGCTGAGATTGAGCAAGTGGGTGTTACAGGAGCCCAGAGGAGGGGGTCTCCCCTCACCCCTAGGCAGCAAGAATTTCCCAAGAATTGCTGCAAGGGCAGGTGAGTCAGTACCGTCCTCTAGTCATAGAGTCCACCGTGTGAAGG